GNNNNGNNNNTNNNGNNGCNNGCNCCNNCGAGATCAATAACTATTTGCGTCCTCTTGTTGATGAACTTATGCTATTGTATAAAGGTATCACAATTGATACATATAACTGCTCAGGTGCTCTGGTGCGTGCTGCTCTGTTGATGGTTGCATGCGACATCCCTGCTGCAAGAAAGACGTGTGGGTTTACATCTCACAACAGCACATGTGCATGCTACAAATGCAATCGTCAGTTTGCTCGTGTTGATGGGACCACTGCTGTAAACTATTTTGGGCTTAAGTTTTCGGAATGGGTAGGCCGCACAAAAGAAGAAAATCGCAGACATGCAAACCTGTGGAAGAATGCAAAGACATTGACAGAGAGAAAGCGATTGGAGATTGAGAATGGTGTTCGTTGGTCTGAGCTTCATCGACTTGTGTACTTTGAGCCAGTGCGTGCAACCATTATCGATCCCATGCACAACCTTTTTCTCGGGACTGCAAAACGAATGATGGATATTTGGATTGCAAACAATTTGCTTGATGACAAAGATTTTGTAGAGATGCAGGAAGAGGCTAATAGAATGGTACTCCCTGTAGGGTATACGACTCTGAAGATAAAGATTGGAAAGAAATTTCCGTTTATGAAGGCAGATGAGTGGAAATCATGGTGCCTGATATACTCTCCTGTTCTGCTTAAGACACGCCTGCGAGATGATCTGCTTGGCAATTGGATCCATTTTGTCGATGCATGCAGAGAATTGACGAAGCCAAGTATCACCAAAAATGGGATCAAAAAAGCTCACGAAAGTTTGGAGGAGTTCTGTGTTAGTTGTGAAGACTTTTATAAACCAGATGTATTCACGCAAAACATGCATCTCCATCTCCATCTAAAAGAAACGATTGAGGACTTTGGGCCAATTTACGGATTTTGGCTATTTAGCTTTGAGCGCTATAATGGTGTATTGAAAGGGTTTGAGACAAACCAGAAGAGTGGGTTCGAGAATACCTACATGAAAAGGTTTCTTGAGAGTTCTTACAATGGTGACTTTTGTCAAGCGCATCTCAGAAATGTTACCAGCCCTTTACTCCTCTCTCTCTTTCTCAAGCTGTCTGGTTGTAAAATCTATAATCCTGCACTTTCGCCACATCCTTTGATACCGTCATTCTTTCACTTGCCAACGTTCCTACAATCCACTGAAAAGCCTTCAAAGCAAACATTTGGCAACGAATCTCTACCTCTTTCTGCTCTACCATTGTGTTTGAAGCCACCAACAACAATGAGAAAATCCGAGTATGATTGTCGGCTCGATTTCTATAAAATTAAGTATGACGATGATTCTCTTTGCAGTGCCAAGACAACAATCAGGAATTGTTGGTTTGTGAATGACCGAATCCAGAAGATTTCGTCCATCAATCTTCTTGGACAAGTTTACACAGGTGGAGAAGGCTTGGTCGTGAGAGGATCGCATATACAAGCGAAATTTATTGAAAAAAGTGGAGACTCTGAGGAAAGATATGCTGGTCGTATTAAGTACTTGTTCTTGCACGATTTTACACCAAACCTCACGCACACCAACCTTTCCCCTTGTCACAACCCCCAACATGTATTTGCCTTCGTTGAGTGGTACAAAATTCCTCGCCATCAACCTAGAATCAAGCAGGGCATCGAGTTGTATGAGCCAGAATTTCTGAAGTATGACTACGACAACATTCTGCCTGTCCACCGCATCTTGTCGCCAATTGCAATTGGAAGTCATGTGTCTGGTAGTGGTGCGGCAAAAGTCGTTGTTATTCCTCTGCCAAGAAAGCTGTACGCTTAATAAAATACTCTATCTTTTTTTTAAAATAATAATAATAATATAAAACATAGTTCATAGACATAAAAAGAGATGTGATAAAGAGTGCAACTAAAAAGACAGAAATTTTATTATACGCGTTTTGACCACGTAGGCATTTTTGTGACCAAGCCACGAGGAATTGTCTCGTGTACTAACACATGACTCTGCAACTTCAACTGCGTTGCTCTTTTTCCCAAGTCATCTCTGGCGAGCTCATCAAGAAAGTCAAACACGGTATTCAACTATAAATGTATATATACATCAGGAATCAAACAACAGAAAAACCATTTTATATAAAACATTACCTCATCACTACGCCAATCAGGACGAGATGCAACAACAGAAGTATCGGTTTCTGTCTCATCACCAGACATTGCATCTCTGTAAAAAACGCCATTATAATCCCGATTAAACTTTTCAGTGACGGCATCCTTATGCTTTGTGTACGTTCTTTTTCTCCTTTTATTAAGCTACGATATATATAATATTTTAAGTATACTTGTCAAAATTGAATTATTATAAATAGAAATGCTTACAGCAGTCTTTCTATTTCCTCTTCTGTTTGAGGTAGTGTTTGTCTGTCTGTCTTCTTCAGTAAGCTTACTAGCAGCCAAGCGATTGTAATAGCTGTTTACAATTATACCACATAGCTCTTTTGGTGGTACCATGGCTGCTACAGGTTGACGACGAATGTAAAGCATCAAATCACTTGCAAGATTCTTGTTAAACTCGTCAGACAAACCAACATTGACATCCCAAGTTGGTTTATCATCATTCTCTCTGATCAACTCCAAATCATCTGTCTTAAGATTAATATCTCTTAACCGCCCCTGAATAATACTCTATTAAAGGTATATTGATGTTAGATTTAAAGGGAGATTGTTTTTATAATTTTAGTATTTGAGCTTACTGAGATCTTTGGGTGTCTTGAGCTGCTTATGATGTCCTGAGGATCCATATCAGAATCCAGAACGGCTTGCATGCCAGTCAATTGAGCACCCACCTGGCATTGTACTGTTCAAATAGTCAGTCTATTGGAAAACAATATAGTTTGTGTTTAATTACCTTTCAATTCACTAACATCAGAACTAACGGCTGTCATTTTGTCATTGAGTGTAGCGAGAAGACTGACTACATCATTAAACTCTGACACTGGAATTGACATATTTTCTGGTCTAGGAGCAATCATTGGATTTGACGATTCTATACGCCCAGTGTTGACTGCGTTGATCAATGGCCTAGATGTTGATCTATTGGTACGTGCGTTCTGGTTGATGTTAGTTCTTGGAGCCATTATCTGTATTTTTATATAATAAAATAATAAGTTTCTGGTATATATTGCTTGATATTTCTATTTTAATAAATTTTTAAGAGAGTACTTTACACGTAAAGAATTGTAGAGTAATTGAGTGATTAAACAATTATGTTAATGATTAAGTGAGCAAGTTGAGCAAGTGTATGAGTGTGTAAATACTTCTTTATTTAAATGATCGAGGAGATCGAAACATATTATTTTGAAAAAAATTGAGCTAGAAAACAACTTCTTTAGGTATATAGTAAGTAACAATTGTTTTATGAAACATATAAAGCTATAATTAGTAGACAATTTTTTTTAAAGTAAGAGAAACAGTCTAATAACTTTTTCAGGGTCTACGGCTTTTTCAAACACTGTTTTTTATTTTCCCACCTTTTTCTGTTTTTCTCTACTCTTTAATAATATTAATAAAAATAACACTCTTTTAATCCTACTATGTTTCACTTTAGGCACCCTTAATATATACATATGATGCAGGTGTCTTTCATTATACAAGAGGTACTTTACTATTAAATATATCATTATTTTACTAACTATAAATTACTTTAAATAGACATTACATATATTTCTCTGATATAACCGGTGCAGACAAAAAAAAACACAAAAACATATTGGTGGCATGTACGTATATATCTATATCAACATCTTCTTCCCAGTATTAAAAACAATATCTAACATCTACTTTAAATATAGCTTACCCTTGATTTACATATGGTTAGTAAAAACAAATCATTTAAAGAATATAAGGGTACGTGTTATTCATTTTATTATTGTGTTGTTTTTATTTTGTTTTGTTTTTTTATATCAGCATTCTCACTCTCCTTTTTTATAGTTGAAATGGTTCTTCACATTCTTATATGACCGGTACTCAAGGACAAGACATGTTCCTTTAGTAAATATGTATGTATATGTTTTATATTCCTTTCTTTGTAATATATACTTGAATGACGCATTGGCTCGTAGCTTTTGATAATATAAATCTGTGTTTTATTCCATTATTAACAAATTATTCTAACAGTATGTAAGTATCTTTCTACTCCCTATAATCAAATAGCTTCAGTAAGCATATATACTCACTATCCGAGTTTATTAATTCAAAAAATTCTGAAACAAAATTTATAAGAAGTATAATATAACAGATTAGTATATTTAATAGTAATACTATATAGAATTCTTATTATTGTCAAAAAAAAAAGGCTTTTTTTATCCAAAATAAAAACAAATAAAAAACCATTTTTCAAAACAAAACAATATCCAATTGAGTAACTCGTGCTTAGCATTTGCACCTATGAGAATTTTTTCTTCGATTCATTTAGCCAATAAACATTAAAGAAGTGCCCTGTTATTACGCCTGTTATTACAAAAACAAGGCCTACATCAAATTACAGGTGTAATCAGCGGTAGATAATACATTGTTCTGCATTTGGAATAGTCTATATAATTGATCCCCGAGAACAGTTGATACACAGACATTATACCTAAACTCCCGGTTTTTATTTTTGGAATAAGATAATATTCAATTATTTTTGACACTTTATTCAATAACTTGTCAACTATGATTTCCTTAATATTTACGAGTAATTCATTTTTATGTGACAAAATATCCTGATAATCAAAACCTATTATTATAATAATTCCCAATGG